TCTTTATCTAGGAAGTACGCTTCCATTTCATCCTTTCCAGTTGATCCAAATCCTTGAGTTCCATGAGATGATTCTCCTAATCCTTCTCTAGTATCTACAGATGTCATTCCTTCAATTGGAGCGAGTTGTAAAAAGATTGCTTGAGCAATTCGTTCATTAGGTTGGATCTCATAAGGTTCGTTGGAATTATTATGCAAAAGAACTCCAATATTTCCAGTATATCCAGCATCAATGGTTCCTCCTTTAACTTCTATTCCTTTCTTGGCTAGTGATGATCGAGACATTAGTTGACAAACAGTTCCTACAGGAACTTCAATTGCCAAATAAAGATCAATCATAATTATTTGATGAGGGTAAACCAGGATTGCTTCTTCTCCAGGGTATCTAAGATCAAAGTCTGCATCATGTTCATGAGCTCATTCAGGCATTTTTCCTTTATCTTCATCATTATAAATTTTAATTATTAAATTTGCTGACTGTTCTTCAAGTTGTTCTTCTTCTTCATCTTCGTAATCTCCAGATGCTGTATAATATTCATTTAGGATTTCTTCAATTGAATCATAGCCACTATCTTCAGCTTTTTTTTCTTTTTCTAGTTCTAGATGTTTTTCTTCTAGTGATTCCTCAACTTGTTCAGATCGTACACAATCTTCACAAGTATCTGAATCACAAGGAATTAAACATTCATTACAGAGTTTCACATTAATGTATTCCAATTGAGCAAGTTGTTTTCTTCGGGAAGGAGATAGTTGTTGATAGATGGCCAGGAAGATTTCTTGGGCTGAGGCTTCTTCAGATCCATCATAGGTAATATACTGCATTTCTTCTTCTTCATCATAATCAGTAATATATCTGGCGAGTATTGCTTTTCCAATTTCATTACATTGCTGATAAACATTTAACAAGTTACCATCACTTCTCAATTTTCTGATAGTGCCATTATTTTTTCGCCAACCACCATGATTAAATGCGTACACACATTGTTCAGTGTAGTCACAAAAATATTTGACATTATTATATCCCCAGGTTACTCCAAGAAAGTGTCTAGCCTCATCTCGG